CGGACGGTTCCATCCAGGGGCTGGTGGTCAGGGCCCCAAAGATGCTTCATGGGCAGGAGGGAAGAAGGGCTTCCCTGTGTAGCCCCTTCATCTTGAAAGCTTTTCAAGTGCCAATACATTCAATTTACTGCTACGGAATGGAAAGTTCCGGGCTATCTCCCAACAGTCCAAAGTCGTCTCAAGTCCTTGCTGACTAGGCCCCAGCCCTCAGTCATCTGTAAACCTCTGTCTCTCCTGTTAAACTGAAGCCCCACCCTCCCAGCAGCTGGGCTTCTTGGAGTACTAAGAAATGTCCTCTTAACAAGAGTGCTAATAAAGAGCCTGCTATGGCTCTGGTCCCCACAGGCACATTTCGCTGAGCTTCTCTTCAGCCTAGCCGTATTGACATTGTAGCCTGCTGTCTGCTCACAGGCAGCCGAGAGTTAGTGAGCCCCCCTCTCCGACCTTTTCTTGGTCTCATTAAGGGAAAAGCACTTCCTCTCAGAGAGGGAATTATCAGACCCTTGGGGCTGGGGGGACTGGTAGTTTTTCAAATATATATATAAAGTCTTCTTTCTCAAAGGGGCTCCAGGTTGACACTATGCAATACCACTTCATACTCATCAGATGGGCTATAATGACAAAGATGGAAAATATTGCATGTTGGCGAGGACTGCTGTATTAGTTTCTTGGGGCTGCTGTAACAAATCACCATAGTCCAAGTGGCTTAAAACAACAGAAATTCATTCTTTCACAGTCTGGAGGCTAGGAGCCCAAAACCAAGGTGTTAGCAGAGCCCTACTCTCTCTGAAGGCTCTAGAGGAGAATCCTTCCTTGCCTCTTCCTAATTTCTGGTAGTTGCCAGCAATTCTTGGCATGCCTTGGCTCACAGACGCATCACTCTAATCCTTGTTTCTGTTGTCATGTGGTGTTCTCATATGGTGTCTGCATCCAAATCTCCCTTCTTATAAGGACATCAGTCATTGGATTTGGGTCCACCTTACTCCAGTGTTACCTCGTCTTAACTTGATTACATCTGCAAAGACCCTATTTTCAAATAAGGTCACAGTCACAGGTATAGGTTAGGACTTGATGCTCATTGAGCATTTTTCATAATAGTCCAAAAGTGGAAATGCCAAATACTCATCAAATGATCTGTAACACACTCACATCATGGAACACTGCACAGCAAGGACAGTGATGGGAATGGAAGACCTACACTCACATGCAATGTGTACAACTCACACAAATACAGCAGAGCCAGATATAAAAGAGCACGGCTGGACAACGCCATGTAGAAAGAAGAGGCTGATCTGTGATGCTAGGAGTCAGGTGAGCGGTCAGCCCTCAGGAGCTAGTCATGTTCTGATTCTCAATGTAGGACCCAGTTACATGGGTGTGTTCAGTTTGTAAACATTTATCAAATTGTACTTGTTTTTGATATGTGCAATTCCCTGTATACTTATTATAATTCAATAAAAAATCCACCATGTCACAGAAGCCAAGCCATCCTCCAGTTCTAAATGCTTCCTGTGCTTTTTTCCATGTTGGCTGGCTAGATCAGAGGGGAACACTTTCTGGAACACTTCAGAAGCCACAGAGGAAGAAGGTGTCCCAGCTAGGCTGTCAGACCCCACCCAGGAGCACCTCACTAGAGCCCCTTGAACGTTACAACCGCACCAGGGAGGGTGCGTCCTCTCATCCAGGCAGAACGGGAGCCTGCCAAGTGCCTCAAGGCCCAATTCTGCTCAGGCCTCTGAGATGGCAGATGCTCCTGCTGCTAAACCAGCAGGCGGGGATTTGGAACACAGTGTGGGCCATGTCCAACCAGAGTTGGGGAGCTGGAGGGCAGGAAGGCAGGAATCACGGCCTCCACTTCACAGTGCCAGTGGAACTGGACCGTGGGGGAGGTGGTGACATTGATGGGAAAGCTTCTGTCTGGACGTCCTGGGTCAGCATAGCGTGTCCCACCAGGCAGGGCCTGCAGACACTGGTGACTGGCTGCTCTGGGTCACAGCAGTGCATCAGGCTTGTCTCCTAGCCATAATCTGTACACAGTCAGCAGGGGCAGCACAGGTTACAACCCTGCAAGGGCTGGCCTACCATGGGGTGGAACAGCTACAGGGCCACAGCCAGACCCCAGTGAGGATGTGCCCCTTCCACGTCTGACTTAAGAGACCTCTCTGTGGCCACCGTGGACCCTGCAGAAAGCCTTTTCTGTACAAGGGGCTTGGGCTGTAGTGCTCCGTCTTTTGAGAGAAAAAGCCAATATTCATTTTCCCCACATCAATTACTGGGATGTTCAGGCAGGGGAGTGAGCTGGTGAAGTTCTAGAATGCATGCACGAGTGTGTGAGTGTGAGTGTGTGTGAGTGTGTGAGTGAGTGTGTGTGTGTGTGTGTGTGTGTGTGTGTGTGTGTGGACAGCTCTGAGGAAGTACAGAAGGGGCTCTCTTATCACCCACACTCCCCTTATTCACAGCTTCAGTGAACTACTACCACCGTTCATCAAAATAATAGTTTTTGAGAACTTACTCTACACATCCATCTGCTCCAGATCCTGGGGATATAATGTCCCTGGGCTTTCAGGGAACTTAGAGAGGGACAGACAACAGAGAAGTTAGCAAACAAGAGCTTTCAGACCACAGAAGAGAATGCTGTGAGAGAAGGGGGAGGGGTGGCAGAGAGAAAGACTGTCTGCGAGTACTTTGATGGGGTGATCAGAGGGTCTCTGAGGGTGCCTCTGAATGATGAAGAGGCGTTAACCAACCACTCCAAGAGCTGGGAAAGGGTCCCTCTGAATGATGAAGAGGCATTAACCAATCATTCCAAGAGCTGGAAAAGGAGAACTCAGGCACCAAGGACAGACAGAGGTAACCGACTCCTCGGTGTGGCCTTTCTCCTCTCCAGCCTCAGGCTGACTACCTCATCACACTGCTCCTGCCTTCTCGGCCCCATGCTCTGCCCTTGCTAGAGCCTCTGGTTGGTCACCCTCTCCTCTTGGCTCTTGTAGGCCCCTGTCTGACCTCAACCACAGCACTCATCACCCCAGGTGGGATTTGCTTGTTGACTGATATGCCTTCCTCCCACTCACCATAGTGCTCCATCTAAAACACAGATCTGATTGTGTACGTCCCAGCTCAGAAACCTCCAGTGGTTTTGCACCACCTCCGGGACAAAACACTAACTCCTCAGCACGCATGGCCTACGAGCCCTAACCATCCTTCTGGCCTCACCTCCTGCTTCCCTTTCCCCCATGTGCCTGGCCCTGTATATTTTGCATTACATCCTGTTTCCCAAGTGATGGTTTAAAAATATGTCCACAAAACCTTTGATCCTCCTCTCTTCAGGAGGTGGAGTTTAATTCCTCTCTCCTTGAGACTGGACTTGGTGACTCTCTTCTAACAAACAGAATATGATGATATGATGGAAATGATGGTGTCTGACTGCTGGGACGAGGTCATAAAAGGCACTGCAGCTTCTTCTTACTCTCTTGGATCACTTGCTCTGGGGAAAGCTAGCTCCATGTCATGAGGACACTCAAGAGGTCTCCATGGCGAGAAACCCAGGCCTCCTGCCAACAGCCATCTCAGAAGCAGATTCTCTAGCCCAAGTCAAGTCTTTGAATGACATCAGCCCTGGCTGACATCTGACTGCATGAGAGATCCTAAGCCAAGACCACCCAGCTAAGCTGTTCTTGAACTCCTGACCCACAAAAACAATGAGATAATATACAATTGTTGTTTTAAGCACTTTTTTTTTTTTATTGTACTTCAAGTGAAGGCTTACAGAACAAATAGTTTCTCATGAAACAGTAGTACGCATATTGTTTTATGACATTGGTTAACAACCCCACAACATGTCAACCCTCTAACTTCTCAACCTTTTTTTTGGTGAAAATACACATAGCCAAAGATACACCATTTCAAAAATTTCTATATGCATAGTTCAGTGACATTGACTATGCTCTTCCAATTGTGCTGTTGTTCTCACTTAAGATGAAGGCTTACAGAACAAAACAGTTTCTCATTTAACAGTTACCACAAATGTTGCTCTATGACAATGGTTAACAATCTCACAACACATCAACAATATGCTTACTCAGCCTTGGGTTCCCTATCACCAGCTTCCTTGTCCCCTTCTGCCTTCTGGTCCTTGTCACTGGACTACTGTACCTCGTTAGTCTCATTTCATTTTACGGGGCTGTCCACTCCCAGGCTGAACGGTGAACCTCGGAGATAACTTCACCACTAAGCTAAAAGGGTGTCTGGGGGCCATACTCTCGGGGTTTCTACAGTCTCCTTTACGCCAGTAAATCTGGTCTTTTTTTTGTGAGTTAGAATTATGTTCTACATCCTTCTCCAGCTCTGTCCAGAACCCTGTGTTGTGATTCTGGTCAGAGTAAACACTAAGTTTTGAGGTAAATTGCTACACAGCAATTAGTAATGAACACATCCCAAATGGGATGAAAGAATGGAAGCTTCTGGGTTTAAATATTTGCTGAAAAATATTTAATTTTTTTACGCTCATTCCCACTGAAACCATAAGCTGTTACTCACCAGCCAGTTGACAGGGCTGCTCTCTGTGGTGCTCCTGTGTCCTTACACATGCTATCTTCTCTACCTGCAAAGCCTCTTGCATGCTGCTCTTCCATCAAGCTCCTCATGACCTCCCCTCCTACCCCGACTGGCACCTGCCCTGTGACCTCACCAATTCTGCACATGGCTCTGACATGGCCACATTGTCCCTGATGGCTCAGAGGCCTGCCAACGCCCCACCTGCCTGTGGGGACAGCAGAGGGTCAGGCACCCAGAAAGTGTCAGTGATGAGCCCTGTCAACTGGCTGGTGAGCCACAGCTTAGGGTTTCAGCAGGATAAGCATAGAAGATTAAGTATTTTTCAGCAAATATTTAAACCCAGAAGCTTCCATTCTTTCATCCAAATTATGGGAAAGCATGAAGACTTGTTGATAACAGGCCTCATTTTACTCTGTCCCAACAAACTGGACAAGGGGCCAACCTACCTGAATCAGGGCAAGCACTTTGTCCTGTACAATGGTGGGAGGGCTGTTCTTGGCAGAGATGATTCTGACCAGCACATTGTCAATGAAATCACGGTTAGCCACGAGGATGTGAAAGCGGTGGCCACAGTTCTTGACACATGTCTCCAGCACCTGGTGCAGGGAGGAAGCGCAAGAGGTCACCACCATGGGAGCCAGAGAAGCAATGGGCACTGGGGAGGGCAGCTGGTCTCCACCACCCTTTTGTCTTCCTCCAGATCTTCCCTCTGACATATCTCCTCCAGAATCACAACCAGAAGACACTCCCACACTCCACTCCAGTCCTGCCTCCCAGGGATGACAGCAGCCCCTTGCTGAATGAAGTCTCCCATCCCTGCACAATGATCAGGCAATTAATTGGTAATTGAGGTACTAGTTTGCATGAGAGGGATGCTGCTGTTTTAATGGGATCAAAATGACTGAGCCATTCCCTGAAAATTAGCATATTAACTCCTCTCTCCAGGCCTCTGGGTATGAGGCATTAGCCAATGGAATACAGGCTCTGTCACCAGAGAAGGCTGCTGTGACAGCTTGAATTACCTAGTGAGTTACTGGCCCTTGTACATGAGGAAGCAAACACACACACATACCTCGCATACCCCAGACAACCCTGCTTCTGCTACTAAAACTGGCAACCACAGAATATTTTCTACCTTTGATAAATGGTTTGCATGTCCTCAGCTGCCAGGCAGCTTTAAGGTTGGTGTTTAATTCGAACCCTGCCTGCTCCTCCCTGTTTAAAAAACGAGTTACACAGGCCTTCAAAATCCATTACTGTCAAATGGATTCCAACTCATAGTGGCCCTATAGGACAGAGTAGAACTGCCCCATAGCGTTTCAAGATTAAATCTTTACAGGAGCAGACTGCCACATCTTTCTCCCACAGAGTGGCTGGTGGGCTCAACTGCTGACATTTCGGTTAGCAGCTGAGCACTTAACCACTGTGCCACCAGGGCTCCTCACACAGTCCTTAACCCCTCAGAAAAGCACAGCACATGTGGGTCCTGGCCAGACAGGGAGTATGGGCTTCTTCCCTGTGGCCCGGGAACAGTCTCTCTGAGCCTCAGCTTCCTCATCTCATCTGTAAAATGGGGACAATGGCTCCTCCCTTACAAGGCTGCTGGGAGGATGAGGAAGAATGTGCTTAAGACACCTAGCAGGGTGCCCTACTTATGGGACTATGGTGACTATTACTGCTATTCAGAGAGCTGTCAATACACTCAAGCCTGGGGATAGCTTATTTAGCCTGCAGAACAGATGAGATGCAGCCTGGAATTCGGAGCTACCACCTGGAAGGGTTTCTCCAATCTCAAACACAACTCTCTGAACTGGAAACCAACCCATACAATTACCTGGCCCTTACCACCTCTGCCCACCAGTACCACAGCTGGCTACCAGGAATGCCTCCTTGCAGGGCATCACCAGCAGCAGGGAACATCTCTGACTGCTTCAGTTATTCTCACTTGCCCATAGACTTCCCTAGGGTCTGATCTGACCACTGGTCCATCTCTACAGCCATCCCTCAGGGCTGGATTCGCAAGACCTGGCCAGCTCTACTTTGTTGAGGCCTGGCTATAATGGCTGGAAAAGCAGGTCCAAGCCATCACACTTACTGAAGGCCCACAACATGCAGGCACTGGGATAGATCCTTCGTATAATATGTAACTGCATTTAATTCTTACAACTAATTAACTCTCTTTAAGTGGGTATTGTTATCCCATTTTTTAGGAGTTACAAGGCTTAGAAAGTGAAGAAGCCGATCTAGGCACATTTGCAGGCCAGTGCCAGAAGCAGGGTGGGCATCAGACCAGCCTTCTCTGAGACCACAGCCCTGCCAACCTCACAGCTCTGCTCCAAGTAGTCACGTTAGCTACTACCAGTCCCTCAGACATCAGGCAGCATGTGCTGGATTTCTAGTTCCCTCATTTGGTCCTTGAAATAACCCTGGAAGGGGGGTATTATCCCATTTTAGAGGTGAGGGAGCTAAGGCTCAGAGAAGCCAAGTAACTTAAGCAAAGAGGCAAGAGCTGAGACTCTGCCCCGCCTGCCAGCCCCACACTAGCCATCAGTGCTCCGTTCCACTGCTGCCTGTGCTGTGGGAGACATGGTGGTCAACTTGCCAAGGGAGCCTCTGCTGCTGAGCAGCCGCAGCTTCTGAGCAGTACTAGCTTTTACCCAGCCCAGGGGGCAGTGACCTCTCTTAGCTGCTACTTACGCTTGATTCTGGCAGGCTATAAGGGAGCCAGCTTTCATTCCTCACAGTGACCCTGTGGGGGCTATGGAGATGAACCAGAGGTGCTCTTCCTGCCCTCAAAGAGCATAAAGTTACCCTTATTTCTAGCATTCTTTAAAATCCTCCTCCCAATGTTACCTAAGCAGGTATGAGTGGGCTGTGGGGCTCAGGCGTTGGCAGGAAGCATGCTTTATTTTGTGAGTGGCAGATGAAAGGGAAGGATAGGGGGCTGGAGAAGGAAGGCACATGTGGTGGGAAGGAGAACTGGACAAAGAGGAGCAGAAGGCTGAGGGCTAGGCAGGCTGTGGTCTGCGCCTGCCTCCACCCACAGGGCAGAAGGGGCCAGCATGCACGCCTCACCTGAAGGGTCACAGCCTTCAGTTTTCCTGAGCAGTAGGCTTTAAAGCTGGTATGTCCCAGCCTGCCCTCTGAGGCTCAGATAGGTATGAGAATGCCACAAATAGTGGTGGCATGTGCTACAGAGCGCCCCAAAGCCCAGCAGAGCAGGAGGTGGGGAGGTGCTTCCTTTGCTGGCGGGGTGCCTCAGCCCAAGGAGGCCCAGTGGCCTACTTCCTCCACCCTGCCACTAAAGCCCTAGGCAAATCTGCCCTGGTGGGTTGTGGGGCATGAAATACACAGCAGCAATTTTCCAGAATCCAGCCAAAACCCAAGGGAAGCAAAAGGGGCCTCTAAGCAATCAGGATCAGTCATTTCAAGTCCATACACTAAAGCCCAAGCAGAGAGCCCCTCAGGACCTCTTATTAGATAAATACTAACAATCTTGGTGGGCACAGTTAAGAAGTTCAGAGAGGGCTACAAGAAGCAGGACTGACAGAGACTAATAGGTTATGAGAAGACAAAGCCAGAGAAATCACAAAAAGCAGACATGCAACCTTGCAAAGTATACCAGGCTGGGGCCATTCAGTGCAGGGACAGTGGCTCTGCACATTTCCAAAATCCCCTAGAAGCATCACTAGGTTGCGGCAGAGACCTGACCCATCAGGAAGATTAAACTACACCTATGGTACTCTGAGGTAGAAGGCAGTTAAGTGTATAGTCCGTTCTAGAAGGCATCCCACCCAGTCTGGCTGCCATGACGCTGGGTGCAGACAGGTACGGTGTACATACCAGGAAAGCACTTCCTCACCCATTTTAATTCTTGTTCCCTGATGAGTTTAATTACTGGGAGCAATTCTTTTGGGCATCACTCTGAGTTTAGTGAATGTCTTTGTTCAAATTCTGAGAAAAAAAGCTTTCAACTCCCTATTTCTCAACTGGCCTTTTCTACTTTATTATTCCAATTCCAATTCCCTGGCAGAGAAAACTCTCCTATTAAGTCCTGGGTTTTTATGTGGGCAAAAAATCCAAACCATTTCTCCGCTTTAAAAGGAAGTATTTTACACCTGTTTGGGATAAGTAACCCACTATTCCAACCTGTCAGAGAGGCCAACACGCAGAACTGTCACAGTTTGTGTGATAAGAAAGCACTGTGATTCTGTCACATGTCTGAAAAATGCTTTGCTTTTTTAAGTTGGAAACAACACCTTAAGTCATCCTTTTCATTCTCTGGCATCTTAAGGAAGGGCAAAAACCTGGTCCAGTCCTGCAAGGAGCCACTTGGTGGACCTTCAGGAGCGTCTGCAGCTATGATTAGTTACCACCCCACGTGACAGGCCATTTGTGTGGCAATCCGCAGGTTGGTAACTCCCCAGGTGGGCAAACCCCAAGACCTCTCTGAGCCTCAGTTTCCTCATTCACATGAGGGGAACAGTGAAATCTATTTGGGAAGGTTGTAAGCATCTGCACTGACATCTTAGAAGCTTGGCACAGCCCCTGGCGCCACTCAGTAGGAGGGAGGCACCGTTTCTATGAAGAGTGCTGACACCATGAGAAGCTACTGGCTCTGCTCAGAGCGGGCTGAGGGCAGGAGGGGAGCCAAGCACAGGCCTTCGGCTTCTCAGTTCTGCTGGTGTACATTTACTGCGATGTGCTCACCTGTTTCAGAGGAGGGCAGGGAAACTGAGCCACAAAGCTCTCCTGAGCACTTGTGGCACCCACACCGAGCCTAGTCACTAGCTGCGGCCCCAGGAGGCTATGCTGAGTGGACGAAGGGAAGGTCCCATGAGTGGACAGGGCAGGTGGGCTGGGTCTGCTCAGATGTTTCCCCACACCCTGGGTGGTGCAAACAGTCAACATGTTCGGCTGCTAACTGAAAGGATGGCGGTTCAAACCCACCCAGGGGCACTTAGAAGTAGGCCTGGTGATCTACTTCTGGAAAATCAGCCACTGAAACCCTATGGAGCTCAGTTCTACTCTAACACACATGGGGTCAACATGAGTCAGAGTCAACTTGTCGGCAACCGGTAATAATAAAACATAATCCCCACGCCTGGGAGAGCAGCACTCACAGTTAATGCCAGCATTACTTCTCTGTAGTTCCGGTTCCCATTAAGACGCTTCTTCAGGGCTCGAATGGCATCCTTTGGCCTGGAGAGAAGGACATATTAAGATCCCTACAAATTCCACTTTGGTGAACTGTGGGTACAATGAGTTCCTTTATGTGGTCTTTTGCCTTGGTTCTTTGGAAAAACAGCTTGGGAGATTTTCTGCCTAAACCCTGAGGAGTTGTTACCTTTGTTTGCCCTAGTTCTTTGGGAAGCAATTTAGGAGACCTTCCAGGTTGCTTTGTTTTCCAGAGGACTATTATTTTTGCCCAAGGAGAAGTGTTTCTGCAGGCAGAAAATGTTACTTTTGTGTAAGACCTGAACTGACTGACATCTCACAGGTAATTGAAGATTGGTTGAACTCTGGTCTGGTGAGGGAGGCCCCACCTTGTAACTGATGAGGACTGGGATACATAAACAGCGGAAGAGCAGAGGTTTTCAACACCTCCTAGTTGATAGGAGCTGGGAGAGGAGTGTGTCCTCTGGGACATGGAGGCCCCTTCCAGGCCAGGTTTTTTTTTTTTTTTTTTTTTTTAAAAAAAAAGCTTCAGCTGAGAGAGCTGTCAGCTAGGAGCTGGGCTGATAAAAAAGTGCAAAACCTGGTTAAGACCTGGGCTGACAGAGATGCATAGGCACGTGGGAGCAGAGCAGCCCTGAAGCTGCTACACTGGCTGTGAACTGGGCCAGTTAGCAGCAGAGAGGCAGACAGTGAAGAAGCCTGATGGCAAAGAGGCCTGGTGGTGAAGAGGACTGATGGCAGAGAGGTTTGACGGTGGAGAGCTGCTGACAGAAGAGCAGCAGCTAAGAAAGCCGAGCAGGCTGCTGCACTGGCTATGAGCTGGGCCAATTAGCAGCAGAGAGGCCAATGGCAGAGAGGCCGATGGCAAGGAGCCTGACAGTGCACAGCCTGCTGGTAGAGAGGCCAATGACAGAGAGGCCTGCATGACAGAGAAGGCAGCCACCTGGCAGAGAAGGCACTGGCCCAGCAGAGAAGCCATGCCCACTGATCACTTGAGAGGGCAGTGGTGCTGGCTGAGAACAGTCTTAGAGCTGTTCCAGCAGAGAGCTTATCTTCTACATGAGCCTTTTTGCTCTGAGAGCTGTCCTGGTCAGAAGCTGTCCTGCACTGAAGAAGGGAGTGATATCTCCATTTCAGAGACCCATTCAGATCTTGCCTGTGTGCTTCCTGATGCTAATCCCAAGTTGTTCCTGTTACTTCCAAGTTGATCCTGATCCTGGGTTGTAGCCTGTTACTTCCCTAATAAACCACGTAACTGTGAGTATGGTCTGTGAGTCCTGTGTGGCTATTGCGATAAATTATTGAACACTGCAGAGAAGTAGAGAGTGCCATAGGGGGAGCAGCTGATGTCTGCTGTAGGGGAAAAACATCACAAAGTTGAGTAAAGCAAAAAGTAAGTTTTATTTGGCATATATTCAAAAGGGCAGAAGTGGGAAAATGGACAAGCATGCTGCCACAGCCATGCCTGCCCGAGTCCAAAGAATATTACAGAACACGCAAGAATGGGAAAATGGACAACCATGCTGCCACAGCCATGTCTGCCTCGAGTCCAAAGATTACAGAATCATCAGTATATATTAACATCACAAATGGGCAAAACCATTGAAAGCTTAGCCTTTTCAGATTGGCTAGAAACTGTGATCCT